CATCAATTGTGTAAAGCACATTTGTACATTCATTGCCCTCATCATTCTCAAAACATTTCCTCTCCACTTAAGCCCCCGGCATTAGGTCCTCGACAGATTCTTTTGGGCACAGTGTGACTCTACGTACGTTTCCATCTTCCCTTGATGCTCCCTGCACTTGAGTTAGAAGCTTTCAGTATTACAACTCAAGGCTTGCGTTTTTCCTTCAGTTCTTCCAGCTTGCTATAAGCCAAGCGTATTTTCCCTCTTGGTTTCTAAGTCCAGGCATTTCATCATTATGCTGCACGTTTTCTTCTTGCGCCTCCTTTGAAACCCCAAGTCTAGCTCGTTTGTGCTTTAGTTACTCTATGGCCAAGAATAAATTTTAGTTTCCTTTGGCATCCACTCATTTCTTTTTCCTTGCCTCTCTTTTGTAGGACGTTTGCTTTCTCCAGGTATGATGACAGGCCCGAGGCCATCCCATAACGTGGCTGGCCATTAGCGTTTAATGTATCAGAATTATTTTGGGGGATTCTCTAAATTTAAGTGGGGTAAATCAAGGTCATACTTGGGCTCTCATGGACTTGTTCTAATTTTCTACAGTTTCAACTTGAACTTACATATAAGAAATTCGTCCCTGGCCTTGTTCGGACTAATGATATCATATTTCTCCAGGGGTTCTTTCCACAGATGTAATTTTTTTATCCCTTTGTACCCATCCAGTTAGATCCACATTTGTAGTTGCCACATATGTACTTACAGATGGTATGTGCAATGAAGACATCGCTAGTCTTGCAAAATTCTTACATTCAATCTCCGGCGTCATTTCTATCACCAAGGCCATATTTTAAAATTCCGGATCCTTCTGATTTTTGCATTCCAATCATCAATGCACCTTGATTGGATGTTTGACCAATTTTAGGCTGCAGAAGTTGGTAAACATCTTTTTAAAACAGTTTTTTATAGCACTTCATCCACATGTCATACAATTCAAAAGTTTAATCATATCAAGAAGAGTTGTACAATTGTCACCGCATTCAATTCTAGAACATATTCTTCTCCCTTGTTCACTTCATTATTCATATAATCATTATTTTTTCTAATTGTAGCTAAAAATCTTTCATTTCTTCATCTTTGGCAAGAGTGGTGAGTGTACACATTTGAATGATATTTTATAAGCTGCTCTTCCTTGTAGGTGTGTGGGTGTGATCCTATCACTGATGGTGTACTTCAAGGGAGATCTCTGTATAATTTAAAAAATGGTAAGCTTAAAAATTATAAATTAGGAGGGAGTTTATGTTTCTGATATCCAATTTTGTATTCAACAACTTAAAGTACTTATTAACACCCCTCCCCCCCAATAGCTTTCCCTGCCCCTCCCCGATTTGATTTCTCCTCTCCTCCTTGTAGAACACCATCTCCTCCTTCGCCCACGTAAACACCTTTATCTTGGCTTTCACTTCCTAACCGTGGTGCCATACATTATTTTTCCTTCTGTGATGGGCAAATTTTGCTCCGCATAACGTTCTCCAAGTCCATCTATGCTGTGAGGTACTCCACAGTTTCACCATCATTCTTTAGGGATGCATAGTATTCCCTTGTGTCTATAGATCAACATGTACTTATCCATTCACCCACACTGATGGGCATGTGGGTTGCTTCCGTCTTCATGGGATTGTGAACAGTGCTGCGAGGACCACAGGAGTGCGTGTGTCTGGTCATGTTCAGCCTTTGACTTCTTTAGGGTACATTCCCCGCAAATGTATGGCTGGGCGATACTCTCTTCTAGTCCCAGTTGTTTGAGAGAGCTCCCCTCAGTGGTCGCACATTTTCACAGTCTCACCAGCAAGGATGCATCTTAAAATGTTCTTTTTACTGATGATTGCCACACTAGTCATCTTCAACACCA